TTGGTGTGTGAACATACTTGCTTCTTAAAATCTGGGGCTGATAAAAAAATGATATAATAATATATGTTCAAAATTGTTTAGTGGGTATAAGGACGGTTGCAAAGTTAAGGTGTCTTTTTGAAAATTCGGGACAAGTTCAGTGGTGACTTTAAGTCTTTTCTCTATTGGAATGAATACAATTAATTATGTTTGAAATTGTAATTGATGAGAATTTTAAATGATATGTTCATTTTAAAAATATTCTCTCCTAGATTTTCTCTTTTCTGTTATTAAATAATTGTATTCTTTTAAATCAAACAAATAAAAAATACATAAATCAGAAGATAACAAAGTAAAATATTGACATATTTAATAAATATTAAAAATGTTGATAAGATGTCCCATTAAATGCTAAAATATTGACATTTTGAAAAATTTCTCATAATTTTATGGGTTTGACTCAAGATAATTTGAATTGAGTGAAACTCAACTCATTCAAGTTTTAACACATTTCAAGAGAATCTTCAAGAAACACTTTCAAAAATAGCAAACATTAGGCACTCTATAGTTATAGTTTGCTTAATTATGAATAATAGCAAATTGTTAGGGGATGAGGGAGGAGAGAGACGAGCGACATCTAGGAGAAGGAGGTTATAGTGTATCTTTTCATGAATGTAGGAGGAAAAAATACAAATACGAACTGATTTGTATCAAAATGAATACATGCTAAAGGAGAGAGGCGAGCGAGATCGAGAGAGGGAGGAGAGAGCCGAGCAAGATCGAGAGAGGAAGGGGAGAAGATTGTATTTTGTATTTATTTTACATTGTATTCTATATTTATTTTGTATCAATTGTATTCGAAATACAATGAATTGTATTTTGTAATTATTTTGCATTGTATTCTTTATTTATTTTGTATCAATTGTATTCGAAATACAACAAATACAATTGTATTCATCCTCTCTTTGATTGGATACAAATTTATTTGATAGAGAGGATAAATGAATATTGTATTTGTACGAATACAAATACAATTGATACAAAATACAAAATACGATTTTTCAAATACAATTTAAATAAAATATAAAACTTTCACCTATATTTGTTTGAATACAATTGATACATAATATATTTGAATGGATTTCTTCTTATTGGCATGAGAGAGAAAATGAAGAGAGAGAGAGAGAGAGAGAGAGAGAGGGCAAGAGAGAGGGAGGAGAGAAGGGAAAAATTTGCTATAAAAATAACATATTGCTCTTTTTTAAATATTTTAACTATAGCTATTTTCAAAAATAAGTTGTTAATTTTGACTAGTTCCATAATTTTTCAATCTTCTTCAATTGAGTCTAATTTAATCTCCAATTTCAACAAATTTTATAACCATTTTTTTGCATTGTTGTAATGTATGTTCTCATATTGAAGGTATGAATTACTATATATTTTATATCTTCTAGAATCCATCTTTTTTTTTCTTCCCATTAACAAATCATATTCTAGGATCCATCTATTCATTTATAACTTCTTCTTCTTTTATTTTCTTGAGTTGAAATTCAAATTGTGGTTGTAAAAGATAAATAACAATATATTAAAATTATTGAGATTAAGCAGTTCAAGTTGAGTGAGTCATGACCCAACCCAATTTTTAGTCCATTTGAGCCCAAAGTAAATTTGGGCGGGTCATGACCCAACTAAAAATCTCCAATTTTAATTTAACCAGTCATTTGACGCTCCTACTAAATAGTAATGATAAACTGAGTGTTTCTAAGAATTATGGGATATACTACAAAAATTATTATTACAAGTCCACTATATACAAATGTTAAAATAAAAAAATAGGTTCATTCTCTTAGTCGATATAGTAAAGTGAGTTGGGCCCACGAAGTTCAGCAAAGAAGTGAGTAAACCCTTGATAGGCAAACCATATGTCATCGCTGCCTCCTTTGTCACCCTCATCTTCGACGAATTCACGAGGTGATCATTGATTTTGCCTCCGTAAACTCCGACGAACCAACAAGCTTTTTAGCTTTGGTCAACACTAACAAAATTTATATTTGTGAAATATACGCCACTAATAATATGTTGGTGTTGAGTTTTGTGGTTACTAAAGGGCCGGTGAAATGGAAATAGTAGATAGAATTGAAGATGAAGATGAACGGATGTTCTCTAGGGGAGATATTGTAAAACATCGAGTTTTGAAAAAAGAAACATTTTTGTACTGTAGTCTAGTTCTACGGGTTCCATCTACGAACTGTGGAAGCTTCTACAGGCCGTAGTTGCAATCGTTGGAAGGGAAAAATAATTCTTCAAAAATTAAGTCCAGTACCTCTTTTACGGTTCACCAAGACGGTCCGTCAATCATTGTATGAGTTGTGAATAAGCCTCGTAGGTGAGTCCCATGCTTAGTGAAATTTTAAGGCCAAAGGTTGGTTTATATAGTTGGTGTATGGTCCGTAGATGGGTCTACGAGCCATAGACTATGTCCGTCAAAAGTTAGTCAAATTTAGGGTCTCTGATCATTTTTACGGTTGACCATAAGTCCAAACTGTAGAAGGGTCTGGAGGTTAATTTTAAGGGGTTTTTGGGTCTTTTTCCTAATTGATTAATGTCTAAACTAGGTCATTTTGGTTCTAATCTTAATCCATATATAAAGTCTTTTGGACCCTAAAACTACCCATTCTAAATCATTGCCTAAACTCCTAAATTCCCTCCAAGTTTATCCCCTCCAAATTTTCTCAACTCAAGGAAGAGCAATCTATGGTTTCAAGCACCAAGATCTCAAATTCACCATAACAATTGAATTTTGAACTCCAAGGTATGTTACTATTTACCTATGGAGTCCTCTCCTTCATAGGATTCCTAAAATCTCCAATTTTGTAAAGATAGATTCTCAATTCAAGTTAGAGTTTTCTTCAATCTTCATGGGTTCTTTTCAATTATGATCTAGTTGATTGTTTTCTATCTATTTCTGCATGAATTGAAGCAATTACATGTTTTTGAGTTAACAAAGTCATATGAACCCATGCATGATCCAAGAATTTTAGACTATGAACACATGATTAAGCTTATGAACTATAAAAGATGAATTTATGAAGATATGCATGTTCTTTGATGAAATTAATGTACATGATTTGAGGATACTTTGAGAGTAAAGTATCAATGTGGTAGTTGTTGTGAAATGTTTTCTCACCTAAGTTGAATCAAGATTTAAGAGTTATTCTAAATGAACTCTAGCTTGAATCAGTTGCATAATTGTACTTTTCCATATATAATAAGATGAATATGATTAATGACTATTTTGTGGGATTTGTACTTAGCATCAAGAGGATATTGAGATGGAAGCTCTCCCGTTAGTAGATGCCGAATTTCTAGTAGTAATCTCTCTATTCCATAATTATGTGTCACCATAGATTTGTATTAGATATACATTAGCTAGTGGATCCACTTTAGCTCAAATGTATGGTTCTTACCTTGGCGCGTAAGGACACCTCTTTTTGGTGTGGGATAAATACCAAATTCAATGTTATAGCTCACATAGTCTATATCAGTTATATGGTACACTTCCCACAATAATCAACTAAGGTTACTTTCTAAAGTATCTCACAAGTTCTTTAAAGATGTTTAGCTTGCATTGACCATGATTACGACTTATGTTTTCTAACCCTTTTATCTTATGATTTAGCTTGGTCATTGCATGTCACGTAAAGTCCTTTTTAGCATGATTTCATTACTCATATCCATTGTTAACATACTTGGTACATTCTATGTACTAATGCATACTTATACCTACATTGTTTCACTAATGTAGGGTCCGACGCTCCTATCTCTCATACTCATGGCTAATTGGTTCTATTGGCTTTGAAGATTGGTAAGTCCTCATATTTCGAGGACCGAGATACTTTTGCTGATTTTTGTAACAGACTTTGTATTTGATGTATGGGTTACGTCCCAATCACTTCTATTAATTTAGTAGATGGCTTATTGAGACTTATGTAGACTTTCACTTTTGTCAAACTTTTTATTGATATAAGACTGTTCTTTGAAATATTTATTTCTATTATCTTGTATGATGTATGCTAAGTGACTTGTGTAACGCCTCTCGGGGTTTATATGCTATGTTACGTCTAGGGTATACCTTGAGTCGTGACAACTCTGGCCGCATTCATGGACTAGATGAATAGAGTATTTAGACAATATCTTGATATATTTGTGATTGTGTTTATCGATGATACCTTGATTTACTCGCAGAGTGAGGATGAGCATGCCAATCATTTGAGGATTGTGTTGCAAGTCCTCAAGGGCCGACAACTATTTGCAAAGTTTAGTAAATGTGAGTTTGGGTTTGCTTTTGGTATGGACATCATGTCATTTGGTATTTGGTATTTCCCGAATATCGAATTATTTAGTAAATAAAGGTCATATATCAACATGTCCATGACTCATTAGTATAAGTCCAAAAAGAAAGTTAAAGAATAAGCATAAACAATCCAAATACATCTCTTTAGTTGTATCCATTTTTGATGTCTTCTTACTTGTTGATTTTTTATTATATCGTGCCTTCACATAATTTTTTTAGAAATGATTGGAGAAATAATATTAACTTTGTAATACAATCTGCTACAACTTCAATACAGTATTACCAAATACCATACCAAACCGAAATTTAAAATTTTTGGTGTATGGTGTCTACTTTTAACTATCAAATATCGAATTATCGAACCAAAATTTAAAATTTTGATATTTAATATCTACTTTTAACTATCAATTATCAAATTACTATACTCAAAATTTGAAAATCCCAAATCAAAAACCGAATGTCCACTCTTACAAACACGTATACTAGCAATAATGATTAATGATAATAATATAGACATATTGATAAAACCAACTATAGAAATGGCAAAGCCATAATTAAAAGAGATACCTTAAAAAGTACTAGTACTCCAATCGCAATAATTACAATATCTAAATAAAATAAAAATAAAAATAAAAGAAAAACAATTATTCTTAAAATTAAAGTTGAATTCCACAAAACCCTTTTACAATCTCTCTCAACAGTCGCGCTTCTTCACGATCCACCACTCGCTACCTACCAAAACCCTAAAATATACACAATCTCCATAGGAGAGAGAGTGTGTGTATATACATGTGTGTCACTTTGTGTATCTGAGAGAGTTGATTAAAGGAGAAGAAGCTTAGAGGGAAAGAGCAAACTTCTCTCTCTTTCTCTCTCTCCTATTTTATTGCTCCAGGTACTTCAGATCACTCTTATGCTTCTTCTTTTTTCTGGTTTAGTGTTTTTTTTTTTGGAATATTGGTGCTGATGTATGGTGTTTAGAAAGATGGCTCTCGTTTTTTTTTTGATATTTTCCCTGGTTTATTAACTTTTTGTAATTTGATAGTTTGTGACTTGAGATCGATCGGCGATGACGGCGGCAGTGGCAGTGGCGGTGGCGGCGGCTCAACCACCTGTGTCTGCTCAAGTTGTGCGTGTTCATATCATTCTCTTCTCTGTTTTTTTTTCTAACCGCAGTTTTAGATTTATTTGTTTTGTTTTTGTTTTTTCGCGGTATAGATGGATACTGAGTGAGTTGATTTTGTGTGATTGTAGGTGGGAAATGCATTTGTGCAGCAGTATTATCATATACTGCACCATTCACCAGGGCTGGTATTTAGGTTTTATCAGGATATAAGCAAGCTTGGTCGCCCTGAAGATGATGGCTCCATGAGCATTACGTCCACAATGCAAGTAAGCCCACCTGAACTATGCTTCCCACCACTGTGTTCTTTTTTGGTCCGCTTTCAGAAACTCGCAGGCGATGTGTCGAAGCTACTCCTTTATTTTCGTTTAGTATGACATCATTTGTATTTGGGAGGTCTTTTTGTTAGGGATGACAATGAGGCGGGAGGTTAGAGCTTTTTCGGGTGTGGAGCGGGGCGGATGCGGGTTAGGGCTAAAGAATCTTTTAATTCGCTGTTTACACGAATTTGGTATTAGTTTTGCACATGTTTGGGCATTAGTCATAAAAAATGTAACTGATTGAATATTTATGAAATTTTTTTGAATGGCCAAAATCTAGAAAGAAGAAAAATGGGATTTTGTTTATTACATCAAATGTAACTAGTTCAAAGTTACCAAAAAAAAGTTATTGACATGTTTAAAAGAAGAGTATTATAAAGGCAAAATTGCATTTTAATGCGAGACTTAACATATTAATTCTTTTCAACAGTTAACAGAATTCAAAATTTTAAGTTGAAAACTCATCCGCCAATTAATTGAAATGTTTCTTACAAATTATGCGGGACGGGGTGGGTTAAAACAACAAATCATGCTATGTGGGGCGGGGCGGGTTGAAATCTTAGCGGGTTTGCCCCGCAACCGCCCCGCCCCATTGTCATTCCTACTTTTTGTCTTTGCCACATGCCTTTATATATTTTCGAAATACTTTTAGCTATTAAATGTGTAACTTGCTATATTCTTTGTACATGTTCGGAATTTGTACATTATATAGATATTTTGAAAATAAGATATCGTGTCCTAATTAAGGCTGAACTTTCCATGGTTCACTGTCATTGCAACTTGTGTTATTATTTCCACTTGTCCTAGGAAAATACTGCAATGAAGACAGAAATAAGGCGGTTGTGATGCATGATCTTGTTGTTTGTTTTTAGTTTCATACTGAAATGGCTTAACACCTTGTCTCGGGTGTCTGGGCTTTATTAATGAATTTGTTTGATAAGCAAGAAATCCGGAGGGCCAGCTGGTGCACGTTTTTTTGGTTTTAGAAATTTTAGAAGAGTGCTGATCTATTGCTTTTTCCAAGAGTTCAAAAATGGTTTAACCTAGTGATAATTAAAGCAGTTTGCTCTTCCACCGTGTCTTGTTTTTCCTGGTTAACATTAAGTTGGCAGTACTAAAGTCTCACATTTTGTCTTGTTTAATGGCCAACATTTAGGCCATCAATGATAAGATACTGTCACTTAACTATGCGGACTTCAGAGCAGAGATTAAGTCTGTGGATTCCCAAGAGTCCTTCAATGGGGGAGTGCACGTCCTTGTTACTGGATATTTGACTGGGAAAGACAACTTGATCAGAAATTTCTCTCAAACTTTCTTCCTGGCTCCACAAGACCGAGGGTACTTTGTTTTGAATGATATGTTTCGATATGTGGAGATTGCCAAACAACAAGATGCTGTACAAGTTCCAGAAACTGATGTGTTGGCTCCTGTTACTCCAGAGCAAAGTAATTGAACAATTGATTAAATTTTGGTTTTTATAATGACCTATTAGCAGCTGAATACTGACTTATTTGTTTGCAGTTGTTGCAGATCCCCCTCCAGCTCAGGAGAATCACATTTCTGAGCAGAGCACACCATCTGCTGAGGAAGCTAATGGGGGAGAAGTTTACAATCCTCCTGAGGATGATAGTGTGCCTGTTGTGGTAGAGGAAGTGCCAGTGGCTAAGGTTGTTGATGAAGTGCAAGGTGACTCGAAAATGGTAGCTGAAACTAACATCATAATTGAAGAAGTCCCAAAGAAGTCTTATGCTTCAATTGTAAGTGACCATAGGCAAAGAAGATCGAGACGTATTTCATCTTAGTTTACCTTTTAATGGGTTAATTTCCAATTTTCATTTGGTTGTGTAAATGTGGAAGCTTAACATTTAGGTGTGTAGCTCTAAGATTTTATGCTAGTGTTTGTTGAGCACTGCTCAAATAATTTGCACTGTCAATCTTTGTCTTTGGTGGTGATAATTTTAGGAAGGGCATCTTTGGAAGCTTTTAGTTGAACAGTTTCATGTAATTTTCAGGTCATGCATCTAAAGGAAAGTGCTGCAACTTTCTCCCCTCCTCCAGCACCTGCTCCTAGGAAGATTGTGCCTAAGAATGTTGAGCAAGTGAGACAACCTCTTGCACCAGCACCAGCTGATAGCCCTGTTTTAAGCTTAGACTTTGTTGATAATGTGAATAACCAAGAGGGAGAAGGCATGGCACTGTTCCTCAGAAGTTCTAATTTTTTACCTGTTGATTTGGTTCATCGTATTTATTCTTATTGATATCCTTGCTCTAACTGCATCCAACAGCTGATGGACACTCCATCTACATCAAAGGTCTACCTATGAGTGCCACCGCCGCCATGCTTGAAGATGAGTTCAAGAAGTTTGGACCTATAAAGAATGGAGGCATTCAAGTCCGAAGTAACAGAGTATGTGTGCTTGCACCAATTTTTTGGCTTTTTAAGGGATACATTAGCAGTTTATAGTTGTTTCTGCGTATTTTTATAATAAGTTATTGTTGGTGGATGACAGCAACAGGGATTTTGTTTTGGCTTTGTGGAATTTGAGGTGGAAACTGCTGTGCAAAAAGCAATTGAGGTACTTTCCCTGTGATTTGTTACAAGTAACTTTCATGTGATTCTCCACATAATGTTTTCCTCTATGAGTTGTAGTTTCTGAGAAAAGAAGTGGCTTGGCTAGTATTTATATTGCTTTAAGTGTTTCCATGTATGATTGAAGATGTTGTGCACATCTGTACTGCTGATGGCTGCCTATAGCTTGGAATGTTGTAATTCCTGTTGTCTTTATGGATCTCTCTGAACATATGTGCTGTTAGGTCATTACAAATTATGCCCTGGTATACTTGGATCTTTTTCATTTTATTGTATTTCTCTAGTTGTATCAGAATATCCATAGGGCTTCAACCGGTATGACAAATGCAAATTCTCCTAGAGGAATTGTTGTAATTAAGTGTAGAATGTCTCGATGACTAAGAGACGTGCCAAATTGTCAAAATTAGCTAGTTTTATCTAGCTGTCAATTTGTTTTTAGAAAGTGCATGGAGTGCAACATTTTGTGCTTCTTGTTGGCAGTTTGAGTTTGGATAACTTTTTCAAAATGTTTTTGAAGGGTCAAATTGTGAGAAAAGATGCACATAAGTTCACCTATTTATCAGTTAGCAAGGTGGATTACAACAATGGGTTAAACACTTAGTTCTGTCAATTAATTAATCTTATATTTTATAAGATATGAGCATCATCTAAAAGATTAATATTACTTGAACTTTATCAAAAGATTAATATTTTATTTAATAGAATAATGAACCTACATATTATGATTTATAGTTTTTAATTTAGTTTGACAACTCATGAATTTATCTTAATGGAATATACCTACCAAATAAGTGGATAAACAAATCTTAACCAAAAGGAACTTCAAAACTACAAAAAAAAAAATCGGATTAAAGAATATTACAGGTACTCTCATAATCACAATGTCAAAAAAAATTAGAACAGAATGTCTGTTGAATACTTGTCTGATTAAATAAAATAAAATAAAATAACTTTCTATTTTTTTAGAATCAAATCCTACTCTAATAGCGCACATAATCTTATATTTGTAATATTCTCACTTTGGATCTCTCATTTATTATTACTGTAACATGGATAAAATAACAATATGACAATTTAATGGATAATTCTGAGAACTAGAAAGTTCTTACTCTTGCCATTCCAATTTATGTGGCACCATTTGACTTGACACAGTTTAAGAAAAAAAGGAGGACTTGTGATCCAAAACAAACCTTGGACATCACCACAAATCATTCATTAAGTGTAAAAGAGAAATTTTAAAATTAAGTTGTTTCTAATTATAGAAAGGTGACATTCTTTTTAGGACAGACTAAAAAGGAAAATGTGCCATATAAATTGGGACAAAAAGAGTAGTAATTCGTTTGGTAAATATGAACTTTTGATGTGAGTATTCTTGATATGAGTACTAATTAATTTGTCTTGAGCTGAAAAATCGCTTTTGCTTTTATTCAAAAACTCATTTTAGAGAATAAAGAGTTAACATTAACAGATAACAAAAATTTGTTAACCACTTGAGGTTCTAAAAGCATGTTGAGAATTTATGACTCCATCGGTTTTTCAGAAAATATATAAAAGAAAAGAAATGTAGCAACTTGGTTTGCTTATATTTATATTTATACTCGTCAACAATTCTACTATTAGACCACTCATGTTCTTTAATGAAATACTTTTGTTTATATTTATACTCATCAAGTGCAGTTTTACATGTTAAAAACCAATGGACATACGTCAGTTTTCATAAAAAAAAATAATTAAAAACCATTGGTGTACCGTTGGTTTTCTTTTTAAAAAGATTTAAAAAAAATTCATTGATTTTTTTGAGTTTTTGAAGTAGTGTTAGTTCAGTTAGTAAATTCAATCTTATATTTCGTCACCAAAAGCTTGGCCAAACCCCCTTTATTCTCTAAAATAAGCGCCGTTTAAAAACACTTTTGACTGTTCAAAAGGTTGGCCAATCAAAGCTATAAAAGGCTCTTACCAACTGTTTATAGGTCCATCTAATAGAAAAGCTAAATTTATTGTAGAATATAGTTGCAACAGACCATCGTGTCATAACTCCAGTGTTATATTAACTATATTGGAGGGGATGTGTGTCTATCTAATGGAAGTTGGGACTGTTAAGAGTTGATGCTAATTTTGCATTGCTTAGTTGAAACTAGACTGAATAGCCCGATAGACATCTCTAATTGTTCGGATTTGAAGTCCCATTATCTTGCTTCACAAAGTTTCAACTAAATACCTGAACTCAATCAAAATAGTAATTTTCTATTGAAATTGCAGCACTTATACTGATATATTTATCACTGCTTTAGTGACCTTTGCTGTGTGATGCTTGTTTTTTCTGAATCTTTTCAGTTTTTTTGACATGTCTGATTACTTTTTGTTTCTCTATGTATCAGGCTTCTCCAATTTTAATTGGTGGACGCCAAGCTGCCGTTGAAGAGAAGAAGTCTACCAGTTCTCGAGGCAAGTTCAATTATTCTCCTATGGTGGTAATGAATTAATGATGACATCAACGTAATTGAAAAAATAAACTATAAAGTGAGAAGTGGATTTGTGGGTTTTTGACGAATTTGTAGGCCTACCTATGTTCCATTTAATTTTTGTAGTGATTTTATCCCTAGAGCTGCTTTGTCTGTTGTGATAATTCGTTGAAGACATGTATGCCGATAATTCTTGTGGTTGAGTTGAATTATGTTCCCTCTGTTTCAGGTAACACTAGGGGTAGATATCCATCTGGAAGGGGTAATGGATTCAGGAATGATGGAGTACGTGGGCGAGGAAACTACAATGGAAGTGGGAGGGGCTATAATCGCGGTGATTTCAATGGAAGAAGTGAGTTCAACAACAGAGGTGGCAATCGCGGAGGGTCATCCAACCGTGGAGGTGGTGATGGCTATCAGCGAAGTGACAACAATGGGCGAATGAATCGTGGTGGTGGTGGTGGTGGTATGGCAAATGGAACTGCCAAAAATATGACACCACGGATTTCAGCTACAGCTTGAGGAGGAGAAGTAGTTTTGGGCAAATAAGTGAAAGCTAATTTAGTTATTCTTTTTTAATTTGAAATGGTTGGATGTGGCAGGTAGGAAGTTGTCACTCTTGCGGCATGTTGTGCCTTTCCCTAATTTTTGCCGTTAATTGGTATAGAGGTTGGAGTAGCTTCTGTTTTTGTAGCATATTGTTATCTTGTTCCCTAGGAAGAGATTGATTATCCACTCATTTTGTAAGCCACGTTGTATTTGTTGAATTATTTTTGGGTCGTCTCTTGCACTTTAACTTTGTCTGCTCTTAACCACATGTACCTACAGATGTGAAATGTTTCACTTCCATTCTTCTCCTTTAGGACTATAATATGAATTATGTTAAATTTTCTTTCTCTAAACCATTAAATATGTTAGATTAATAAACTTTGTATTTTGGGTCTTATTAATTCAAAAACTAGACTATTTTTTAAGGTAGTAATTTAATACAATACTTGGAATGCAAAAAAATATGACCTATTTTTCATTTTTAAAAGGGATCATCTATTATAATGAATATAAGAGTCTATCTTACATACACGAGAGAGATTAATGATTATAAAAGGGATCATCTATTATAATGAATATAAGAGTCTATCTTACATACACGAGAGAGATTAATGATTATAATTCAATTGAAAGTTACTGGAATTTTTCAACTCTAGCAAGTTAATCTCTTTGAGGTAATTGGTCATCTAACTTTTTTTGTCTTTCAAAGGTCAATTCACTTTGCCTAATTACTTTCAACTTTCAATGATCATCTTCACTAAATTTTGTATTTCATGATGAATTCCATAGCGTGACAAATTTAATTTTAGGCTAAAGTCATCGACTGTCCCTTAAAGTTGTCCGCATAATTCACTTAAACACCTTAACTAGAACTTGTACCTATTAAATAATGTGATAGGGGTTACTTGATGTAATACATAAGGACAATTAAGGGTAGTTAAGGGATTAGCCAAGTTAGTTATGAAAATTGTTAATTCTTCTGTTAATCGGTTAGGAGTCAGTATGTGTGCATATATAAGCACTGTTCCATTGTAAATGTACATTTGAGTTTTTCTGCATTACTACTGAAATAATATTCTTCTTCTTCTTCTTCTTCAATGTCTCTCTGATTAGCTCATCTATGGTATGCTAGGATTGTGTAGTTTCTCATAATTCAACATGGTATCAGAACCACACACCCACGATTGTGAGGTTTATTGAAGTTAATTGTGCAGTTTCGAGCTTAGTTGATCCTCATCAATGGCGGCACCTAAGTTTGATCACAATCATTCTTTATTTTTGCATCCCTCCGACACCACTGGTGCTTCTATCATTCCTATGCAGCTTATTGGATCTGATAACTACTCCATTTGGAGCAGGGCTATGCGCATTCAATTGCTTGGGAAGAACAAGCTTGGAATTGTCTATGGCAGCCTGACTAGGGAGGATTTCGGAGCAGAGTTAGGGCATCAATGGGATCGATGCAATGCCATTGTTCAGGGTTGGATCATGAGTTCAATTACTTCGGAATTGCACACTGGATTGTCTATGCAACAAGTGCAAGAGCAGTTTGGGAAGATCTCAGGGAGCGTTTTGATAAAGTGAATGCTTCGAGGATCTACCAGCTACATAAAGCTATAGCCACTACTGTACAAGGTACTGATATCATTCCTACTTATTTCTCCAAATTACGAAATTTGTGGGATGAGTTTGCGAGCATTGTACCACCTTCCTGTAATTGCCCTACTTCTAAGGATTTTACTGTACATCTAGAGAAACAAAAATTGATGCAATTTTTGATGGGGCTGAATGAAAATTATGATCAATCACGTAGTCAAATTCTCATGGTAGAGCCTACTCCTACTATCAACAAGGCATATGCTATGCTTGTTGAAAGGGAGAGTCAGAGATCTCTAACATCCTCCATAGGTGGTGAGGGTGCAGATCTGGCTGCTCTCATGGCTGGGAAAGGAATGCCTAATCGTTATAACAAAGGCACATCAGCTTCACAGTCACAGTCATCTACACAACACTACCACAAAGGCAAGAAAAATTGGGACAAAATATGTGACTTTTGCAAGCTACAAGGTCATGTGGAGGACAATTGTTTTAAACTTCATGGATACCCACCTGATTGGAAGTTTAAGAAGAAGGGAACAGGAAACACTGCTTATCATGTTCAAGCTGATAATAATTCACATTATATGCAATCAGGTGTAAGAGATAATGGTTTGGATCCTTCAATCCCTAAGGATCTGCCAAGAGCTCTATAGTTAACTAGTGACCAACATGGTAACATTTTACAGATGTTTGATGGGAATAATGCTACTGCAAATGTGATGGCTAATATGGCAGGTATGGTTCATACTCCTATCTCCAAAATTGCCAAACTGAAATGGATAATTAATAGTGGTGCAACTAATCACATGGTTTCTAGTTTAGAAGTTTTGCATGATGTGAGAGTTGTTAAGACTGAACAAAACAGGAGAGTTTATTTACCAAATAGTGGTGTAACATTGGTACCTCATACATGTAGTTACAATCTAGCAGACATAGGAGTATTACATGATGTCTTGTTTGTGCCAGATTTCCACTATAATCTTTTGTCTATATCAAAAGTTACCAAAGAACTCAATTGTTTTGTATCTTTTTATCCTGGATTTTGTTTATTCCAAGACCTTTCCAATGGGAAACTGAAAGGGATTGGTAGAGAAGAGAATGGTCTCTATTTTTTTAACTCAGTCCAACTCTTATAACACCAAAGTTCATGCCAATGATAATGCTAAAAGTTTTGCTGCACAAAGTGACAAGAAGAACAGTATGTTGTGGCACAGAAGACTTGCACATGCCTCAGTAGGGTCTAATAAAGACATGTTAGGTTACACTCTTGACGATTGTAAAGCAGTTTTACATAATTGTGAGATATGTCCTTTAGCTAAACATACTAGATTTCCCTTTCCTAGCAGTACTACTAGGTCCAATGCATTGTTTACTTTACTACATTTGGATGTTTGGGGTCCATATAATACCCCTACTTTTGATGGAAACAAGTTTTTTCTCACCATTGTTGATGATTTTTCAAGAACTGTATGGGTCTTTCTGTTGAAATACAAAAGTGATGTGTTGCTGCTTGTTAAATAGTTTTTCAGAATGGCTGTTACTCAGTTTAATACTACAGTTAAAGGTGTGAGAACAGATAATGGGGGTGAATTCATTAGTATTTCAATGCATGCATTGTTGACAGAATCTGGTATCATACATTATAAGACATGTGCTCATACCCCTCAGCAGAATGGAATTGCTGAGAGGAAGCACATGCACCTTCTTAAGGTTGCCAGAGCTCTGAGGTTTCAGGGACATATTCCACTTCAGTTTTGGGGGCATTGTATTCTTACTGCAGCCTATATCATAAATAGACTACCTTCTCATACTTTAGAAGGCAAGTCACCTTATGAAGTCTTTTTTGGACAAAAACCAAGCCTTACACACTTGAGAACACTTGGTTTTTTGTGCTTTGCAAGCAATATGCCTAGAACTGATAAGTTTGCACTAAGGGCAATAAGGTCAGTGTTTATGGGGTATTCAAGTGTTACTAAAGGTTACATATGTTTTGATCTTCAACACGAAAAATTCTTTGTAAACAGAGATGTGATATTTCATGAAGATCAATATCCTTTTCAACACTTCTCTAAGTCAGTTGAACCTTCCTACCATGAGTTTTCTCATTCTCCTGAGTTTTATATCCAGGATGATTTACCAGCTGATATCACTACACCTCCAAGTGATCTACCCCCTCCACATCCACTTTTAGTTCATGTTTCTGTTGTTTCACCACCTATACCATCTGCTCACATCCCTCATGCATCTCCACCTCTTAGGAGATCTACCAGAACATCTAAGCAGCCTTGGTTTTCAGATTATGTTTCCAAACCCTCAGCTAACACTGTCTTGTATCCACTAGAAAATTTTGTTTCTTATGATCACTTATCACCGTCTTATTAGAAATATTTGAAAGTTTTTTCTGCTATATGTGAACCTAAATCTTACAAAGAGGCAGCTCAGATGTGAGATGGATGGAGGCTATGCAATCTGAATTGCAAGCCCTCCAAGACAATCAGACATGGGATTTGGTCCCACTTCCTCAAGGCAATGTTTCTATTGGCTGTAGGTGGGTTTATAAAGTGAAACTGAAAGCTGATGGGAATATTGAACGATTTAAAGATAGACCAGTGGCAAAAGGTTACACTCAAAGGGCAGGTTTTGATTTTCATGAAACTTTCTCTCCAGTTGTTAAGATTGCTACTGTCAAGACTGTTCTTTCTTTGGCTGCTCAGCATGGGTGGCCTGTTCATTAGTTAGATGTTTATAATGCCTTTTTTCAAGGTGATCTTTATGATGAAGTCTATATGAAGTTGCCAGAGGGTTTTGCAAGTCAGGGGAAGTCTGGACTTGTATGCAGACTTGTCAAATCCCTCTATGGGCTTAAACAGGCTAGTAGGCAATGGAATTTGAAGTTGACTGAAGCACTATTGGAATCTGATTTTGTCCAAAGCAGTTTAGATCATTCATTGTTCATCAAAAGGAAAGGTTCAGACATAGTGGTTATTCTTGTTTATGTAGATGATATGTTGGTAACAGGAAGCAATTTGACTCTTGTTGAACACACAAGACTATTTTGCACAAAGCTTTCAAGATCAAAGATCTTGGTGAATTGAAGTTTTTTCTTGGTATGGAGTTTAGTAGATTTACCAAAGGTATTTTAATGAACCAAAGGAAGTATGCCTTGGAAATCATTTCAGACTTGGGATTGGGAAGTGCCAAACCTGCTTGGACTCCACTTGAAGCCAATATGAAGTTAACAGTTCCAGAATTTTGAAGATAGTAGGATTAACTGGGCTTAGCTTAGATAAATTCTCTTTAAACTCATTCAATATCTTTCTCGCCTTATCCTGCTAACAGCCTATGAATGTGCGCTTGTCGGAAATCATCTTCAATCTTAGATTCCTAGTGTGCTGATTCGAGAACAAGCTCACTTTCATGGACTGTCTCACAGGAGATCTAGAGGATGAGTTTTTTTGAAGACAAGGAACAATATCAGAGGTTAGTAGGCAAGATGTTATATTTGACTATGACAAGACCAGATATTGCCTATTCAGTCTAAACACTCAACCAATTTTTACAGCGGCCTAAGAGGACACACTGGGAAGCAACAATAAGGGTGATGAAGTATGTAAAGAGGGAACCAGGAC